GCGTAACAATGATAGCCCACACTGAATTGGCACGCGAGGCTGTGCTCTTTGTTTGGATTCCTAAGGTTTAGTCCTTCGGAGCAAGCATTAGAACATACTCCCGTGTGCTCCGGCCGAACTGGATCATATCCTTCTCTCTGAGTTCGAGATATCTGCTTTCGGGTACCTTCTTTCCGTTGAGCATAGTTCCATTGGCACTCTCCAAGTCGATTAAGTACGGCTTTACTTTTCCAACCTTGTCGCCGTACTCGTTGCGCTTTTCAATGTAGCGGAACTGTATAACAGCATGCTGTTTGCTAATACTCGGGTGCTCGGCAGGTAGGTCAACAACGGCCAACTCCCTACCAACTAACCAGCAGCTACGATTTCCGAGGGGAATTGTATCGACAATATCTTCACCCTTGAAGACAAATAATTTCCACTGGTCCTTCGGAGAGGCCTTGCGGGCTTCGGGCGGTTCATGGTACTTGAGTACTATCTTGGAACCGTCTGACTGAACGATAGCGTTTGAAGCAGCAGCCAATGCGCCCGTGTTCCCAAAGTTGGGCTTCTCCTTCGGTTTTGGTGGCTCCTCGCCTTGCGTAACAGCGAAAGAATCAGCCTGGGAAGGTAATGGACCGCTTCGCTTCACTATTTGTTTAGCACCTCTGTCTCGGTGATTGTAGTCGTTGTCCCGCGCCCGAGTGCGGAGTGAGCCTTCATTATGCCTATCGTAATCGCGTGACCTTCGTCGCCTATGTTCGCCTTCTCTACCGCGGTCGCGGTCCGGAGAGGTCGATCTGCGGCGAGGCGCATCATCGGGAGACCTGGAACGTCGGTGGCGTCTTGTATTTCTAGATCTATCACGAGACCTATCTCTTCTTCGGTTTTCGCGTCGGTGGGAATCGCTGTGGTGACTAGTTCGGCTCCGCCTGTCGCGTTCGTAATCGCCGTCGCCATCGCCATCGCTTCGTGAGGCTCTTCGCTCGCCTAGGGGAGACTCGTCGTAACCCATGTCGAAATGAAATAGGTAGGTAAGACGTAAGCCAATGTCTGGCTACTCAATCTGAGCTGAAAAAGAATGAGGCGGAGAAGTATAATTAAAGTTTTCGGTCATAGATTCGGAAATGCTTATGAGGCTGAAGTAAAAAGTACGTAGAGCAACTAGAGCAACGGCAACGTGGATCTGTGAGATGTACCTTAGTACATCTCAACACGTGACTGCTCGTCACGTGTCATTCAGACATTCGGATTCATCCTGAGTGTTTGTAAAAAAAAAATAATGTTTCATCTTATTAGTTAGTTTAATAGATCAAGTGTTTAACAGGATCTTTACTGCTTCAGAGGTGGGCCAATCACAGGACCTTGATACTTAGATACATGCAGTTATACAAACATTAACTATGTACATAATCTATATATGCGTATAAAGTGTATATAAGTTACGTAAGTTCCTTTTCTTTACATTTGAACTCGTTTCTTGTCTTTGCAGCCTACAGATTTTATTTTGCCTTCGTACGTGACAAACAAGGTGTCATTCCAACTTAAGTGAAGACGCTCAGATTAATCCTCTTCGCCATCGAGTTACGCGTCTTTCCAGCTCCCTTTGCATGATGGCAATTCATCATTAGGAAATCTTCAGAGCTCATTTCTGCCTTGGAAACGCGTCACCTGTGGAAATCTACGAGTTAGCCTACCTAGAGATGTACACAGCGGTTAGGATATTATGCTTGCATGTTTCGTTACAGTAAGTTACTTTAGGTAGATAAATTGTCATTGGGAGGCCTTTGCAATCCTGCACATCAACTTCTATTACGAAATGGAACGCGTTTCCGAAGCATAGCCACAATATAATGCAGTTTCAATCCCTCAGCTCCAATGCACATCCAAGGTTAGGTGTCGATTTCCAAAACGTAGCATCTTCCTCGTGGCGGTGCTCAAGGCACCAATCACAATGAAAATGATTGGAAAAACAAAAATTGCGGAAACTACGATCCACGAAGGATAATAGAAGAGGATCGACTCCGCGCTGTGCAATGCAGGTCTCCCCTCTTAAGAATTCTTATTCTTGAGCGAGAATTCTTCTTCCAAGGTAAGTATGAAGAAGAAAAGAAAAAAGAAGAATTAGAAGCGGAGAGGGGCGCCAGATATTTATGGACTTTCTTAGGCGGTGTCCGAATTGTACAATCAGTCCCTGGCGGCAGAATTCTTTCTAGGCGACCAATCAAAAAAAGCCTCTGTACGCTAAATTCAGCGCACTAGCTGATTAGAACTAAAACAGTTTTATTGAGTGACTAAGCGCCTTTGAACCAACTTACAAAGTAATAGTTATTCATAGATACTTTGAAAGAGGGTACGTTAGTGCTACTCCAGGTCCCAACTACACTTCTAGGTTAAGTAATGGGAGTTACCTAGATCAAGCCTGTAACAACTGGCTAGGTAACTTAGCTGTCATTACAGGTAGACAACAGCCATTCTACCGTCTACTAAGCATACTTGACTTCAATATAAGTCATTTTCATATGGATCTATAGCTGCCGATCCGTCATTCCCTCTAGAGGCAACGTATACGGGATAGACTCGTATCTAATGAACATGGTTCCAATATGAATGAAGTCTTTGTTACTTCAAAAAACCACGCGAATAGAAAGAACAACCAGATTACGTGGACATCTGCTGATTTAGTTCGTGGACAACTAGAGCACAGCTCATTCATTGAATGTGGTATTAAAGGTTGATGAAGTACCTAAGTTCGGTTTTCTAAACTGGTTCAGTCCATGGACAAGATCCACTCCGTCCATCGGTCTCTATATTAGAGCTCGAGGCATCCTCAACCGTACTTATAATTTCTCTTGTGCGTACTATTCCTTGAAATTGGTCCAGCGGCCACTCGAGATCCGTGTTTTCTTCGTACTTGCTATCTCTAGAAAATGAAAGAATCTTGCTAATCTTCCAATAACCCCGGCACTTGTTCAAGGCTCCGTTGATACGGGTTCGTGGAAAACGATGTAGGGGATGAGTCCAGAATATAGATCTATTGCACCACATTCTCATTACTGTTGGATCTCGGGTGTAGGAGCCATTCCATATTCCAGGAATAATAGGCACGCAAAAAACTAAGAATGAACATGTCATCTCGACTAGTGACCATATTACCAGCTCAGAAGTGACGTAGGTTGAATCTCCCGAGCGGTACTGTAGAGAATTTGCAACCCGGAAGCAGGAAGCAATAATTAGTAGCTCTATCTTAAGTTCAGTATTTCATACGACAGAGGTTACAAATAAGAATGACTCATCTTACAAGATACCAATAGTAAAAACGACTGAAACGCCCATTTTCTTCGTTTTCGGCATATGCAATTTCCAAATAACGGGCTGTGGGAGGACTAGGATAAATATATCGAAGGCTAAATTGAGCGAGGCGGAGAGAATATTAAGGAAGCTTTTATCGCTATTGCATTTTCCATCAACCGTCTTATCCCAGATTCGTTACATGGGGATGCACATAAGATTAGCTACTACAATCACAACGCTATAGAAAACGATGTTGGCCCAAATAAGGCAGCAACAGGCCCAATAAAAGGGACTGCGATGGCCATCCGGAACAAATATATGAATCCATTCCAGGAGAATGGTGTTTTCGTAACCAGTAAGTGAGCGGAATAAAGGTTGATACAGAGATGCATGACCTGGTCTGCTTTAGTAACGCCGGCTGGTCTAGAAGGCCTTGCTGGAAACTTACGTATAGATGCTCGCTCAGACTGCTAAGACGAACGTCCCATTGGTGAATACGAAACCCGACATTGATAATTATTCTGTAGATACAATAGGCTATGCCTACGAAGATGCTCTTTTAATGGCGTCAACTCGCCGAACAAGGCAACATCAACTATAAAGTAACGACGTACGTATCCGACTATTATTAAATCTAGACTGTGTCAGTAAGGATATTTAAGGATGGATTAGCAGGAGGCTATGATACAGTCTTCGATTCGTACACGCCCAATGAGGAATACTTTCGCGTAAAGCCGTATAAGTACGAATACCGTTGCAATAGCTAAGCAAAACGACGTCAATATAAAGCCGCCATCATTGAAGTTTTGTGGGTTTATCAAGTTAGACTGTATTCCGTCCGGAGGCTGTTTTGCAGGTTTGTTCAAAAGTTCCTCCAGCTGAGCAGGCGTTAAGGAAGAGAAGGATACCTCTGCCATAATTCAGCTGGGTGTATTCGGAAGTAAATATCGGGTTAGAAAAAATAGAAACTATTAGACGTATCTAAGCGGAAGAAGTGGAGTCGGCCGGAGCATGTAGATCTTATATAGAACAGCTGGGCTTAATACCTATCCTAAGCAACTTGATAAGCATACTTCAAAACATAGGCCGCCGAATACGAAGGGTTGGTGAAACACAATAGCGTGCCAATCTATCTAACCTTAACAATAGGGCTACTATCTTTGAGTTGTACTACCATACTACTATAGCTAAGACTTTAAGGCTCGTCATACCATAGGACTGTGTAGATGGGGGCCGTCCTCGTACGCCTATCACTCACATACGTCTAATATCGTAAAAGGTGAATTCCTTAATTCATCCACCAACACAAGGTTAGATCCATAGGGTTTATGATCATCGGTGGCTTGTAGCGTTAGCTGTGCCTCATGTCGTGGAAAGGAATACTCTTATCCATTCCGGCGACGGTCCGTTGTTGGCCTTTGAAAGACTCTAATTGGCTATAGGGAACGTGGTGTTATCAGTGTAACATTTTCTTAATAACGCAACGGTGGGTTTAAACTTATTTCTTTAGGGAATCTACTGCGGCCGGGTCGAATAGGTAAGGGGGGTTATCAATATCAATTACCCATCTTAGCACACATATTGTCCTCTGTGAGCTGAAACACGCGTGCGTGCTTCTCTATTAAATAATCGAGTAAAGTTAATCCTAAGCATAATAGATACTAGAAACTTCGTAGGCTGTTTACAGGCCAAAAACATGAGTGAATTATTTGGGGCTAATGTCTTTCTGAGCAGTAGTGACGAGGTACTGCTAGACTGTAATGGCTATTCCTAGTGAATATAGATGAGCTTTTATTATTAATAGTAATATCTTCTTCCTAGGTTAGCGAAGCCATTGATGTTTAAATCTCCCGTGCTGTTTGCCTCGTAATTTGTTTCCCATTCGCGTGGTCGGAATCAGATGCCTCCTCGATAGCGCCATCTTGCCTTTCTCTCCAGTCCAGCCCCCATTCTAATAGGTTTGGATACTTGTGAACATAACATCGCATTCCTAGCATAGATACTATACTCCCTACGCAAAACGCCGCAGCCAATGGAAACCCAATTGGATATGTAGGGGAGTCAGACACTCGCCACGCGCGTAGCGGGATCGTGGCGTGCCCAATATAGACCAGCGTAATGGCGATGGCCACGATGATCGATCGCGCCTCAGGTTCTTTCCGCAGTATCTCCGCAAGCCATGCGATGAGTGCGTAACCCCAAGCAGCCGTAGCAAAAGTGAGGAAGTAGAAGGTCATGATTGTAGCATGCGAGTTGGGCCATCCGGCTAGAACAGAGGTTGCTACTAGCTGTAAAGCAGCAGCACCGCATGAGACTTGCCACCGCCAGCCTTTCCAATCACTTAGTGCGTTTAGTGCGATGTTGCAGACGATTGAGATAGCATAGCCACCGAGGGGAATGAGGTTCACCGTATAGGTCGAATATAATGGTTTCCCAGTCGCGTCTGTGACGCCTTTGAGATATAGTAGGAAGTACGAGTTGGCGCGTTGCGACCAGGCGAATTGAAGGTAGGCTGCGACGAACAGATACGTAAGGGGGCTCTTCAGTAATGAGCGGAGCTTTCGAACGAGAAGATCGAATGGGATTAGCTCCGAAGTCGTCATTCCGTGTTTAGAGAGTCTTATACGGGCCAAATCCCGCTCGGAAGAGTTCAAGTAGAGAGCTCGAGTGATCTTAGGAGAGTCGGGGATAACTAGAAATCCTATGGCTCCCCATACCATCGTCATAACGCCGGAGACGATAAACAGCCATTGCCAGCCCTCGAGACCATTCACCCCGTTAAGATTTTTATAGAGCGCGGCCTGTAGAATTCCCAGAAACATATTACCAGCCACACCGCTGACACCAAATATGGCCAGTCGCTTGCCAAGCTCTTTTGGTGTATACCAGTTGAAGATTAGACTGACGAGGCCGGGCCAAGACGTCGACTCAAAAACACCAAGGAAGAACCTCAGCACAAAAACAGTTTTCGCATTGGGCGCCTTGTATGTTGCCAAAGTAAGTGCACCCCAAATAATTTCGCAGATTGGCAGAAATATTGAGGGGCGAACTCGGGTCTGTATCATTTGAGCTGGAACGATAAAGAGCGCGTAGCCGATAGAGAAATAAGTGGCGAACTCGACCAACTCGTTTCCGTAGAGCGAAAGCGATTCTTTCATGCCTGAAACATAAGCTTGCGTTGTTGCTGACTGGTCCATATCTTTCATTAAACCAGCGACGAAGGCCCAAGTCAAAAGGAGGACGTCAAGTTTGAAAACTACGACATGCTCTGGGTTCTTGAAATATGGGTGTATCTTTCCGAGCCATGCTGGCGATGCAGTATGTAACACATCGGCCTGACTGCGAGGACTTGGTTTGCCCGTGTATTCACTTGGCGGGGTTAATGTCATGACTGCAGTCATCCGAGGGTGTTGGAATTGGATGAAAGAGGGAAAAAAAACTATCAGTCAGTCGTTATCGAGGGACATTAATACTCTCAAGAGGACCAAGTCTTAAGACATGTCTAGGTACAGTATCGGCAATATGCTAATTATAAAGCTGTTTATTATCAGTACGAATAGAACCTGCTTAGAAAAAGCCAAGGACTTACCATGGGCGGGCTTATGGTGACATTCAAGCTATAATCATGGCATTGAGAGTTGACCTATTTAACACTAGTACGGCCTATAAAACGAATATATTATCTACATATCTTCAGTAATAGTATCTCATAGTTATTGAAACCGCACTGTCGGTATTTGATATCTCTCTAACCCAACCTGAGATGCTGTCATCTACCATGCCGATGTCGTAATGAAAGGCTGACCTATCTAATCCGTGTCGGGTCCGGTTGATGATCTACTGGGATCTAGATCTACTGTATCACGTCGGGAATGTAAAGACCGAGCTAGGTTCCTTTAGGAAAATTCGGCCGGTCAACGGTGAGAATGGCATGTTTGTAGAAAGCTTAGGCTCCGGTACGGACCCTGGAACTTTCACATATCTTCAATAACCAGCGCTCCAGTAATCTTCGATGTCAAACGACATGCGCAGTCAGGAGTAAATTATCAACATGTCATCTGAGCCTCTGTATCTGGCTTACCTTCCAACCAGACCAGATGGGTATATGCCTACCTTGGATGTCCCTCAATTTGAGGCGGATGAGCCGGGTAGCCGCGCGGACCCCCTGAAGCCGGCTATTTTTAAAGTAAACGCGAAGATAACAAACATCACGCCGAGGATCGGGACAGAGATCACCGGCGTTCAGCTCAGCCAGCTTCCTCCAGCAGGACTAGATGAAGTTGCTTTGCTGGCGGCCGAGAGAGGCGTCTTGGTTTTTGTGAGGCTCTAGGTAATCATAGACGATGAAAATATCATTAACATTAAAATGTAGAGAGATCAGGACTTTGCAGACATTGGGTTCGAAAGACAACGAGATATTGTGAAGTATTACGGACCCTTGCATAAACATCCTACGATGGGTTATCCTGCGGGGACAAGTCCAGAATTCCATGTGGTGTATGCGGATGAAACTGCGTAAGTGTGCAATGTCTAGACTGATGCAGGATGGCTGTACTAATGAGATCGCAGTGGTAACCTTAGAACGCTTCTCGGCCCTCGCACAGCGTACGACTTATGGCATGTCGATCAGACATTCACGCCAAATGTACCATCGACAACCTTTTTCTGGGTTCTTGAAATTCCCGAATCTGGTGGTGGTGACACGGCCTTCACATCCCTAACGGCAGCATACGAAGCATTGTCACCTGCATTTAGACAGCTCCTCGGAGGATTAAGTCTCTATCACACGTCGGCTTCGGTCGGAGAAGTTGCTCGTATCGGGACGGAGCGTGCCTTGAAGGAGGCTGTTAACACGACACATCCCTTGGTTATTAAACATCCTGTCACGGGTAAACCCTCGTTATTCGTGAACCCGACGATCGCCCGCAAGATCGAGGGGTTCTTACCGGAGGAGTCGGATAACCTCCTAAAGTTCCTACACGACCATATCAAAAGTCTCGATTTTAGCTGTAGGGTCAAATGGGAAAGGGGAACCGTCGTGGTTTGGGATCAAAGAACTGCAGCGCATAGCGCGGTACCTGACTTTGCGGATGGAGAGAGGCGGCATATGGTGCGGATGATACCTTACGGTTCTAAGCCGGAGCCAGCGTTTCCAGAACAGTTCAACTCCTTCAAGGAGAAGATACATGGGTGATTAGTACTAAAGTGGCTGTAAAAGCAAACAGATGTATGATGTATTGCTGTACTTATTGTAGTACTTATTGTAAGCCACATCATTAACATTGGGATGTGATAAGTCAGTTGAGCAATAAGCAGGCTACCATTATTACATGCGGGAAGCGTGCATATGTTCTCAACGTGGCATGCCAACGCCACGGCAGCCTGCATCAATAGGTGCCTCTAATAATCAGGCTCTTCATCTTGAAAGAAATCAAGTTGGGTTATCTGAGAGGGGGAATGACCAGTCAATAGGTACCTACGTATCGGTGTTCTCCTTGATATCGAGCTCCGAGCTCCCCTCTTTAAACTAGAACCTGAGGTACGCTGAACAACGTCTACGTGAACAGCAGCGCTTCAATGCTTCATTTTATATCGGACGTTTTAATATGGCAGCCCAAGGAGCGGCTATGCCGCTTCAATCTAAGGACCACAAGACATTGATGGATATTATTGATAAATTGAGGTCAAAGGGAATTAACCGATATGTCAATCTTCCTCAGATTGTCGTCTGCGGCGATCAATCATCGGGTAAAAGTTCTGTTTTGCAGGCAATTTCGGGCATGACTTTTCCAACCAAGGATAGCCTCTGTACACGTTTCGCGACGGAATTGATCTTACGACATACGAATGAACACACTGAAGAGACATGTCGCGTATCTATTTCTCCTGGCATCGATCGCTCGGCTGAAGAAAAGGCACGTCTTGAGAAATTCCAATACTCCGAGATCCCTGACAACTTCAATATTGGAGCCTTGGTGGATAAGGCTAAAGAAGTTATGGGAGTTGGTTCCAATCAAGGTAGAACCTTCTGCAAGGACGTCCTTCGCATCGAACTATCCGGTCCAACTCAGCCTCATTTGACAATCGTTGACCTGCCGGGACTTTTTCGTGCCGGTAATAGGGAGCAGTCGGCTGAGGATGCCGCGATCGTACAATCGCTAGTGCTCTCGTACATGAAGAATCCACGGAGTATTATACTAGCTGTGGTTTCAGCTCAGAGCAACTTCGCTTTGCAAGAAGTCACCCAGCATGCACGCGAAATTGATATTCGTGGTGAAAGGACCTTGGGACTCATCACAAAACCGGACACACTCGACGTCGGCTCGGCAAGTGAGCGTGACTACTTCGACTTGGTGCAGAATAGGGACGTCAAGTTCCGGCTTGGATGGCACGTCATGAGAAACCGTAGTTTCAAAAGCAGAGATGTCACGAATGAGGAGCGGGACCAAGCAGAGGCGGAGTTTTTCGATCAAGGCGTCTGGGCTGGACTACCACGATCCCAGAAAGGGTCCGCAAGCCTACGTACTCGGTTGAGCGAGGTGCTCAAGGAACAAATACTCGAACAGCTACCGGAAGTTCTGGAAGAGATCCAGAGAGGACTAGACGAATGCTCGAGCCAACTTGAAAAGCTTGGCGCAGCTCGTAGCACGCTCGCTGAACAACGCAAGTACTTGCTCAAGGCTAGCCACCAATTCTCAAATCTCATCACCGAAGCAAAAGATGGGTTTTATCAAGATAAGTTCTTTGGAAACGCTCGGGAAGAGATCGGGTACCGTAAAAGGCTCCGTGCTGTTGTGCAGAATATTTTGACTGATTTTGCCCATACAATGCGAACTGATGGACATGCAAGGAATATTGTCGAGGAAGTCTCAATGGAAGTCTCAATGGATGACCCTACAGAGGTTTCACGAGATGATTACCTACTAGAAGTGAAAGATCTGATGAGAAGAAGTCGGGGGTGTGAGCTTCCAGGCACATACAGCCCTTTGATAATTGGCGAGTTGTTCCGCGAACAGTGTAAGCCCTGGAGAAGCTGGTTGGAAAGTTTCTCTAGCAAGATATTCAAAGCTGTTGACTTAACTGTTAATGAAGCATTGACATACATTGTGGATGAGGATACGAAGGCGAAGCTCTGGTGTGAATTGATTAGTGATGGTTTGGGTCGGCTCAACCGTGAGCTTGGTAGCAAAGTGGCCGAGATCCTACGACCTCATGAGGATGGCCACCCAATAACATATAACCACTATCTGACAGAGAGCGTTCAGAAGATTCGCATCGGTCGCTATCGGGACAATGTCATGCGCGGTCTGAAAGAGTCTGGAATTGGAACAAATATGCTACTTGGAAGTCTTGACAAGTGCTTGGAGGCAGCTGTTAAGCATACTGAAAAAGACATGGAGACTGTGTCAAGTTCGGATGCGATCGACTGGATGGAGGCATATTATGAAGTAAGTCTCCCATACTACCCCTATAGTCACAAGCTTACTTAACATTATATAATAGGTAGCACTGAAGCAAATTGTGGATGACTTCAGTAAGCTAGCGATTGAAGCTTGTCTTATTTCGAAGCTGCCTGGGTTATTTACCCCTGAAGTGGTATTTGAACTTAGCGATGATACCGTAAGCAGGATTGCTGCCGAAAGTTGGGAAACGGCAGACGAACGACAATTCCTCACGGATAAGATGAACGTCCTGAGCAGTGGCATGACGGAGCTACAGCGCCTAAGCAAATATCATAAGGGTACAGGAGGTGGTGAGTTAGCTGAATAGTGGACCTTTCCTTTATTGTTTACTTTAAGCTAGAAGCAAAATTAACTATTATTCAAAAGACAAACTAGAAAAAGAAGCCAACACACCTGAATTCTCCTCTAAGCAAGAACAATCTTGGAGCCAACCAGCTCTAGATGCACCTATGCCAGAGCGACCGGAAGAACCGGAGCACGAAGCAACGAGTCCGGCAGCTTCAGAATGGACGGCCGAGCCTGATGCTGCAAGCTACGGCCATTTTTCAGAGGGACCACAGTCCTCCGAAATCTATGAGGAGCCAGTCATTGAAATAGACAGGCCAGGTTTCAAGGTTGCTAAGGAAAGTAAAGCTCTCACGACCAAAAAGACGAGGGAAAAGAAAAGGAGAGAACGGGCTACCTTTGCCTGGAAATCACCCATTTTTGGGGCGCAAGCTGAGGAATACGAACGCCAATATTAGTTTGAGCACCTAAATTGAGTTATACTCAAAATTAACGGGGTTCGGCGCCCAGATGTCTTACGGCTAGGCAGCCTTTCCGAATTCATCACCTGCGTCTCTATTCCTTTCTCGTGCCATGATAAAGCTTAATGGGTTTTGGTTCCAGTTGCAGCTAGGGTATTTCCCACATAGAGTGTGTAGGTTGAAAATAAAATCCGTGTTAAGTTATGTTACATGAGGTCTTGAAAACCTGTTTACCCCTTTATGATAGAAGTTGGCATCGCATGTATCTGGGTACCTAAGGTACCTAGGAGATCTAAGTAGGTAGATAGGTATACATCGAATTGTGGTACGTAGGTATTAGTAAATGCAGTCACCCCTACTGTGTATAAAATTGAGAGATGATCGATAATATGATGAAACCATCCTGTTATTGGCGCGGGGACAGGCCGACGTAGCCCGAGTCGCAAGACAAATACAAGTTTCTGGATAGCTGCATGGCCCAATAGGCTTAGATAGCAACACTTAGAGCAAACGATCCTGCAGGCTACCCATCATATTTGAGTGATTGGAGCCACGAAGGACATCAACAAGTACTTTCATTCACAGATTATCAAGTAGGGTATAGGCCTGGTGGAAGGTGATCATATATCTGTACGCCCCTAAGCGCTTTTCCGTAGGAACTGGCCTCCCTTTCTCTAAAATCTTGCCTCATCTTTCTACCGAACCTGAACTTACCAACGCTCTCAGAAATACAAACAGCGAAACTAGGGAAGCTAGAGCCACGATGGACACCAAAGACATTTCCGATTCTGAAGAACATATGGCCTTCATCAGACAGAGCAAAGAAAATGCAGAGCGAGCACAGCGTCGCAAGGGCGAAAAGCCTCGAGATCATCCCCCACCCAGCTTTCTTGTTCTACAATTCATAATGAAGCTTAATCAATCTGCTAGTATGGGTGACAAGGCGAACCACAAGCTCTACACGTCGCAAGTACCACCATATTATCCCCCCTGTATCCGTTCCGTCCAGGATCTCAAGCCTCTGATGATATCAGAAATGATGCTTGAGAACCACCATCGGGGGAGCTATGCTTTGGTCCGCGTCTTGACGCCACCCGATCGAATGACTGCCGTCATGGCTATCGTTGAAGACGAGGAGGGTACCGCGATCTTGCTTCAGCTCTACAATCAGCCCGAAGAATCTAAGGTTGCCAAAGAGCATATTCTGAAGGCTCAAGATATATGCATCATTAAGGAGCCTTTCTTCAAGGTTACCAACAGTGGCTCATATAGTTTGCGGGTCGATCATGTCAGCGACATTATCTGGCCCGAGGATACCGACAATCGTGTTCCTCTAGAGTGGAGAAAACGATTTATAAGTCTCGATGAGAGCTCTGAGGATATACGTAGGGAGGGAAATGAGGCAGTTCAGAAGAAGGACTGGGCCAAGGCGGAGCGCCTGTGAGTAATTACTCGTAGAAAACATTATACGTTTGATAGCTTAGGGTACTGATTAAACTCACAGGTACACGGATGCAATACGCGCTGCTAATACTGCTAAGGAGGAGCAGCTGGCTCACCTTAACCGTTCTCTCACCAACCTTTACCTCGACCGGCCAGAGAAAGCGTTCAGCGACGCACAAAAGGGCAATATGGGCGATGATTCTCCAATGGAAAAAGCCTTATTCCGAGAGGCCAAGGCTCTCTACGCACTAGGGAAGTTTCGCTCTTGCTTGGAGAGACTTATGCTCCTCGTGCGTTCCAACCCCAAGAACTCAGGCGCATTGGCCGAGATTAAGCGAGTTAAGCAACGTCTCCGTGAGGAGGAAAAAGGATCGTATCAATTCGGCAGCATGTACAAACAGGCTGAAGATACTCCGCCCTTGATTGATTGCGCAACATACGTTGGGTCAGTGGCTGTCCGTGATTCACCCGGTCGGGGCAAGGGTCTGTTCACCACGAAGGCAGTCAAGGCAGGGGAGCTTTTGTTATGCGAGAAAGCTTTTGCGTACAGCTATGCTGGTGATGATAACAATACTGGCAAATCGAACACGACGATTTTGATGAATTGGCATACCAACATCATGTCCATGGGCGGTCAAGCAAACCTCATCACCCAGATTGTTCAGAAACTATACCATAACTATGATGGGGCGAAGGTATTCACTGAGTTGCATCATGGTGACTATACCCGTGTTGCGATATCTAAAGTTGACGGCGTTCCCGTGGTTGATACGTAAGTCTTTTTAAGAATCTGCATACAATAGATGATAATTCTAACAACAATGTAGATTCCTCGTTGTGAAAATTATTCAGTTAAACTCTTTCGGGGCCCCACGCACCAGTTACAAGTCAACCATGTTGACTATGATCAATCAAAATGGAGAGAGAAAGGACAAGCCTGCTGAGCATACTACGTGTGGCATCTGGCCCATCGCATCACGCATCAACCATTCCTGTATCACTAACTGTTATCGCACCTTCATCGGCGACATGCAAATCGTGCGGGCCAGCCAGGACTTAGAGGCGGGCACGGAGTTGCACTTCATGTACCGTAGCCCCGGGTTAAACGAGACCTACGAAGAAACCCAGAAGAAGCTCAAAGGAAACTGGGGATTTGTCTGTAACTGCGCGCTGTGCCTTTACAAGAAGTCCACGCCTCAAAGTATCACTAAGAAACGCAAGGCTTTATTCCTCTCCCTCAAACCCTTGTTGAAGTGGGATTTTACGCCGGCACAACTCAGCCGAGCGAGAAAGATACTAGAAGACTTGGAGAAGACGTACACAGCCAAGCAGGATGCGCCGCCGGTGGTGCGCCCCGAGTTGTCGGGGCCTTACTTTGGGGCAGGCGCAGATCTGATCTCAAGAGGTAAATTTACAGATGGTCTAGAGATGATTCTCAAAGGGCTAGAGACGCTCGGATACGTCGTTGTGGCCCGCCCACCGAGGGACATGGGGGCCGGGAAAAAGGCAGTGATGGAGATAAAGCGCTGGGGAGAAGCCAACAAAAATACCGTCTGGGCACTCTTGAGTATGATGCAGGCTTACGAATTTCTTGCCCCTGAGCTCTGCAATATAGTCAAGGGGTATGCCCATGTCATCTATAGCATATGCTGTGGCGAGAGTGAGACCATTGGTAAAATCTTTCCGGGTCTTGCGTAGGTACAAGGTCGCCATAGCAGGGAGCACAAGGGAGAATATACCTTAATGGCTATTTAAGAATTCGGAAGGGAAGTGAGCTCACGATCTAACGTAGAGCCTCATGGCTAAGGATTATCTCATAGCTAACTTAAAACAGTTCACATCCCACCATATACGCTTCTTTATGAACCTATGTGATTCAACCATTCCCCCTTTTTTCGCACTTACCCACGTACCTAAGTACCTAAGTACCTCACATAAAAAAGGGGGTGCTGACATAATCATAATTATCCGCTCTTAAACAATATAAAATTTCTGATTCTAAGGAAACGGGCAATCATACCTTACCTAGGTAGCTCTGCGAACAATTTAACATCCTCATTAGGATGTAAACAATCTATTTGTAGGATAAAATGACTTATTTTCTCAATACGTCACATCCCTCTTCCAGATTGGCACCTCCTCAAACTCCTCAACGCTCCATCTAAGTTTACCCCTCTCATTAAGCCAGGCGCCCTGATCGCTAGCCTTTAGACCATGTTTCTCGTTTTCCGTAATCTCGTTCTGGCTAACGCCCATCGGATCTCTTGCGATCCAGATCAAAGGCGTTGGACTTGTGAGGGCCGGATTTAAATATGCTTTCTGGACTTGCTCTTCTGTGTACTCCGGGACGTTCTCTTCGCCATTGGATAAGTCTCCATCTTGCAGCCATGTTCTCATGGCCTGGTATGAGGCGAAAACTTGCGGTTCCAAAAAATGTGCTATTGGGTCTAGAATGCGCTGCGCGATGGTCTTCGGAACATTTGCCTGTTGTCCTAGACGCTGAATCCGGGATGTTGAGTGTGCCTGCCCTTCTTCTGCGGTGGCTAATAGCGGTGTGGATTCGTCGTCTCTCTCGGTCAGCGTAGCTAAGTCGGCCGGTAGGAACTGTTCAAGCGGCGCGAGGTACTTGTTAGTTAGCACGTTATAAAGTATCGTCGCGATAAACAAGAAACCAGTTATAATAGATGGACCAGTTGCTCTTCTCAAGCCGAAAAGACCTAATAAGGACAACTCGGCTATATAGACACCCGTGAGAAGGTGCTGCAATGCGAGTGTATAAGCCTGGCCTTTGGTATCTATCTTCGGCTGGATGACGAAGAGGAGGTTGTAGCGGTAGGAGAAGTAATACAGGGCTAGTCCGACAGCCGCGAAACCTAGTACTAATGGCGCGATACACGAGTATGCAATTGCTATGAAGGATGAGCGGATAAAACCGAAGATAAGGATAAGTTCTATACTAACCGATGATTGCAAAGTTGGCGAACTGTATAAAGTTAGCGCTGATCCATATTCATTGTACAAGGCCTCTCACTTTTGGATACAGCTTGCCCCATGCGATCCCTTTCATACTTGTATATCGGTTAAATTTCTGGCGCGGAGTTTTATCGAAGAAATAGTCATAGAAAAGATAACTTAGCAGATCCGAGTAGTTAAGTAAGTTATCAGCAGCGGAGGTAGTGCCCTGGACAATAAAGTAAGTCAGGTAGAAGTTTGACGCCTTTGGAAGCTGCCTCGCTAGCAGTTCGGGGATCGAGGTGGGATCTTGGGCCCTTTCCAAAAGCTGTGCAGCCACGGGTGCCGCCCCGGAGAAAACTGCAGTGACAAGAAATACTTGTGTCACTTGGAAGATGTAGTACCATCTTTGGACCTTTAGTTCAGCAGCAGTATTGGTAGGGCTACCAGTTGATTTGAATATGTCTGGTACTGGTAAGCATATCTATCCACGATTGAATCCGGACGACTAAATCCTTACATCTAAATATGCTAGGCACTAGCTTGCTTAGCCAACTCGTCGCCAATGGTGGTATCAAGCCAGATAGCAGACCGATGACTGGTTCTGGTAAATCCTTCAAGAAGCTCAACCATTCGACATTATCCGCAAGATAGCTGATGTTAGAGATTAAGCCGATGATACCACTCGGAATAGACCAGAAAACTATTAGAGCTATAACAATAGCCATAGCAGTCCCCTCTCCGGAGATACGGCGAGCAGGCGGTATAGTAAGGTTATTCCATATGACTTCTTGGGGCGAAACACCAGTATACCTGGGACCAAGGGCTAACAGGTTGCTGGACGCGACTTGCTGACAGGCCCGCTGAGCCTCCGCACATGTCTTAAACTCGACGAATACTGAAGCTGATCCGTTAGTCTCACCAATTTCATATGAATTGCGCGCATCCTCGATGCTTGCTTCCTCCTCTTTTATCTTCTCACGTAACCACTCGATACTATCGACTTTCTCATTTAGTGGCGATACGTCCGGTTTATGTCGCGGTCTTATTGATTTCTTAACCAAATCTTCAAGATTATCGTATTGCTGGTGCTCATTCTGTGCATGTGATTTAATTCGTTTTCTACCTTCATGGTTGGCCTTCCGAATTAGAGTCATCTCCGCAGCCTCAAGCTGCTCGATTTTTGATTTACGTTTCGAGACTAGATGCTCTAGCGTGTCGACTTTAGTCGCTGGCCAAAGGCGCAAAGCTCCATCTCCAAAGTACCGATGCATATTCTCTTCGTCGAGTGCATCTCTTGGGGCTGATAGGAAGAGAACGGTGCGTGAAGAAAGGCGGTTCGCAACAGGCTTCGACAGAGTCCAGGCTTGACGGAGGCCAATGAGCCAAAGTCGCTCGCGGGCAACTGTAAACATAACGAAGCTGAAAAATACGCAAGCAATTATTGCGTGGGCGTATAGATGTCCCCTTTTCTTGACGTTCCCAATGCTAACCTTATCCAGTTCGGTTGAGGAACCACCACCGGTCGCGTTCACCGGCATGAGAATAGGCCACGTGAGACAACAACCAACGAAGCAGATGAAGATAATTATTCGCAGGAAACGGAGATAGAGATACGCATCCAGAGACTGGTGATATAAGATGAACTTATCCGGAACCTTGCGCATGGTATGGATCCAATTGAAATACGACTGACCAGCAGAAGGAGTCCGGTCCCTACAAGAGATTTAGTATCATGGTGATAAGTCAGAGGCAGATACATACTTCTCCGGTATGCTTTCGATGAAGGTTCGGGGAGCATAGATATTGGGATACCAATGCCGAATGACGATGAATATTGCAACAAAGATGAGGCCCGTTACCTTCCTGGCTTAGCAAGTGTACGAAGTTTGAAGATATATATATACACTTACCCATGTGGGGACAAACGCAGAGACTATGGCGGCCAGGGATGCCGAGCCTTTTGGCTGTAGTGAACGAGATGTTAGGCTTTGTTTACAGACGATAGTCCGTATACGATAGGTGAAGATCTCCACGAGAGACGACTTCACCAGGTACACCACGAATCATAAGAATGCTTACCTTGGCGTCCATAGCACTTAAACTACCATTGACTTGGCTAGGATCGTATATGATTTTGTCAAACTCCATTTTCGCGATTCGCTTGTCTTAAACCAGAACACGTTGTACTCTTTGCAGTCTAAGCAAGTGATCGAGACTCTTGAACTCCGACACGTAGGCTACAAACATAACGAGTTAACTACTGTTAATTAGTAACGAGCTGTAAATGGCTGGAGATAACTATCTTTTCTAGCAGGTAAGCAACATAATATTGTATATGAAAATTATAACATTGGAAGTGGTGCTGTAGTCAATTATCCAACTTATGAAAATACAATTGTTGGTTTGAAATGTTGATGACGTAGATGTATTGTACGAAGTACAAAGTACGCGTTTTAGCTGGTGCCGCGTAAATGAGAGCTGGGATAGTGTGGCTTGCGGTGGCTTGACATATACAGCAAACCACAAACTGCTATTTTTAAATCCTCTTAGAAGCATAATGCTTCTAAAAGACTTCAACCTACCAGTTGACTTCTCCTTTTCCTTTCCCCATCTTTCTTTATCCTTAAGTACTTCAATAGCCTTAAAGTAGTCTTTATATTAACGTATTTACGTCTAGAAGTCTCCGATAAACTATTATAAACTTCAATATAACTTAAATCTATACCGTAGTTACCTAATTATTTAACGTGATAGGTTCTACTACCCCGGCTATGCGTACATCTTTATGGTAAAGGAGGCGGTGCAATGTCACCTCTCAGCTCTCTCAAGCTTAAACAACACGGCGTATATGCGCTTAAGTGGAGCCCCACGCCGTCTAGCCATTCAGCGAATAGCTTCATTAGCCCTATGTATATTACGGCGTATCTTTACCTGCTAAACAGGGCATTTTCTCGAATAAAATGCTGATAGGTGAGAAATTAGATGGCCGTCGCGCATAACCTAGCCTCAGCTCGTGACAGTTGTAATTTCTTGGCTGGTGCGTCATTGCTTTGGGAGACCATGGGAGCATCATGTATACTCACTCATATTTAAACCCCTTTTCCCATCCTGTATTACAATCCAATATTCCATCATCGCAACCCTATCCCAAGGCAAAACTAGATATCGTGAGCCACGATGATTTCCTTCCGGGGCGCGTTACAGCTTTCCTTTATCACCTTGTCTCTTGCCCAACCCCATGGGACTTCAACACTTCAATGGGGGCCGTGCAACAAGACCGAAGTTCCCAGTGACGTCCCTGTAGACTGCAGCGTTCTGATGGTACCTCTCGACTACACCGAGCCAGATTCTGATGAGAAGCTACAGCTTGACCTTGTCAGGATTCCTGCCCCTGTGAAACCCTCCAAAGGAAGCATCCTCTTCGATTTCGGCGGACCTGGCGGTACTGGACGAGATGAAATAGGCATTAAGACTTTGGCGGATGAGCTATTAGCGTAAGTTTAGGAGATATAATCTTTGCTCTGGGTTTGTTATACTGATGTCTCTTTTAGACTTACTGGCCGTCAGTTTGATCTTATTGCATTCGACCCACGGTAGGATTTTATCCTTGTCCCTGCTATTCCTGGCCTGAGATATTTGAGACATTACTAACGACTCCGGAATATACAGCGGTACTCATGGCTCGAAAATTCCTATCCAATGTTTCGATAACGAATATGACGCCTGGTCATTCTATCTGGACGTGATACCTGCAAATAGTTCCGATGTGGAGTTGGGAAAGCAGTGGGCACATGCGTCTATGCTTGCCAACGCCTGCCTCAAGACACATAACAAGACCGGAAGTTTGATTAGTTCTGCCTTTGTGGCAAGAGATATGATGCAAATCGTAGACGCTCTTGGGGAAGATGGGATGTTACGATACTGGGGTATGTCAATACGTACTGAACTTAACAGCGGTGTAAAATATAGTAGAGCTGACAACGCATGCTAGGTTTCTCATATGGCACGACATTAGGGGCAACTACAGCTGCTATGTTCCCTTATAGGATAGGAAGGATGGTCCTCGACGGTGTACAAAACCCGCACGAGTATTACCATGCACAGGCGTAAGTTATCGATCGGCTACTGATTCAGGATACTAACAATTGATGTTATCACAGAGACTTCGAGGAATTTACAGATGCGGACGCGGAGTTCTCGGCTATGTTTACAAGCTGTGTTGAAGCTCGCGAGAACTGTGCGTTGGCTAAAGGCAGCAACAAGACGGCCGCTGAGCTCGAGCAGGCCGTCTGGGATCTCCTCGACGCTGTCAAGTACAACCCAATTCCTCTCAGGTCATTCATACTCGACTACACCAGCGTGAAATCTCTTCTGGTACAGGGTCTCTACGATAGTTCCTCTTGGCCGGGTATTACTAGTATACTCAATGCGATCATGACCGAGCAGTACGATGTAGTTAACAACGCTTTCGAGGCTTTGATGCCCACAACCTCCATTGATATATTCAAGCAGAGTCAACAGCCGCAGGTACTTGCTTCCATACACTGCAGTGATAACATGGTGCGAAGCAAGACGTTTGATGACTTCGTTCCGGCTATCCAGCGTCTATACAACACTAGTAGGATCAGTAAGTAACCTTTGGTACCCCTTAGCGTGAACAGCTCAGTATAAACCGAGTCATGCGACTTATTTTTTTGTCGTGTTTATCTCACATTTGATGCTAACCATACGATTATAGTTGGAGATGGGCTGATATTCTTATACAGCGCCTGCGCGCAATGGAAGATTGAACCGAAAGAGCGATACACGGGCGACTTCAACGTGAAGACGAAGAATCCAGTCCTCTTCATTGGTAACACTTTCGACGGGCTCACCTCCCTTGTTTCAGCCAAGAATGTTAGCTCAACTTTTGAAGGGAGTGCCTTGCTAACAGTCGATGGATATGGTGTAAGTTTTTTTTGAAATTTTAATTACAAGCACACTTAATGCTAACACTATCCGCCTTGCAAACAGCATGCCTCATTGGCCGCTCCTTCAGCATGCACTATCAGAACAACTTCAGCATATTGGGCAAATGGCACTCTACCTTCCGAAGGAAAGGTCTGTGACTCGGCTCCGTTGTATTCAGGAATCACCTGGGAAGATATTATACAGGAGGTATACGGTAATACTACGGCGCCTGCCAAACGCCAAGCACACCGTGTGCCAAAGTTCGGAGGCCCCCTAGCCCCTTCTTTCATTCCTAGGTACCTAGGTAATGGAACCTCGCAGATGAGACACGTCGATATTGTTATAATTGATTCTCTGTCCCCTATTCAGAGTATTAGTCTCCTGGTAATATTTGGGATTTCATAAAGAATAACTTGTTGGTCAAATTCACGATGTAGGTATTTACCTTTTCTGATTCTTTATTGTATTAATGCAATTGAAAACCATCAGTCCACTTTCCTGTCTGATTCTAGAATTCTGTCGATGTGCAACACGGGACCTTAAATGATTTGCACACCGTTTCTGAAATTTACTGTGGAATATTTTCTGAATTAGACAATTCGTTGGTGATTTGTCGACTATTTTGTTAAGTCATTATCAGAGTTCTAATCTGATTCCCGAACTCGTAGCTATAACTCCCTACTGAACAATTAGTATACCTTACGCAGTCCCACGTGTCATCAACAACGAACCTAGAATCATTGTGTAATGCAGCTCTGGTCATCATTACCAGCATCGGCCTTGTGCCTTTTAGGGTGAGGTGCCATGTCATTGAGGTCGTCAAAATCAGCCTCGTCATGTGCTCTTCTCTTCGACTGACTAGTGCCACTGTCGCGGTTATCCTTAGGTGGAAATACTCCCTCGAATAGTTTTCCAGCCTTCCTAACACCTTCCCTTGAATATTATTTTTCTTGGCAACAACTGTTAGTGTTTAACGTTGATCCACACGGTTTTCCTTAACACCCGCTGTAAAAGCGCCTAAACTCCAGAGCCTATCAGGCCCCCAGCATGGCCCCGCAGCCTGCCCCGGAGCCCGATGGCTTCCGAACGCCTCACAGAGGTAATCCTGCACTTCAGCAGATTATCGACAGAGGACCACAGGTCAGAGAAGCACCATTTACGCCCACGCAGCCTCCAAAAAGGAAACGAAACGCTCAAGTTCTCTCAGTTCGACTGGACTTGGGGAAGGCCTCAAAAACTGCACCGACAAATTCTACTAAGATTACTGGAATGCAAGCTTCCGCGCACAACCAGCCCGACAAATCCACAGCTACCGGCTCCCTACTCGCCATCCTAGCAGAAATGCAACGAAAACAGAACGCACGGCAGGAAGTGCTAGAAGACGTGGCACGCTCATTGGACAGCGTCGTAGCCTCCTGCGGAGACGACGATAAAAAGTCCTTCGCACGGGAAATTACCAAACATTTCTCGACATACCTGAACACCGCCTTGTTCGCAGGGGGTACCCTATGGAACCCCTCTAGCAGCTCTGGCACCGACCCAACCAACGCAGGCGCCCCCCTAAACAAGAAGGGCACCAGCAATATCGACACCAGGCGCTCATACGCCTCAGCAGCAGCCAGTGGAAACGGCGCTAGCGGCAAAGGGAGCAGCAAGTCGAGCACCGCCAGTGGGGCGGCGACCTCCCGACAGCGAGAAGACCTACGCCTTCTGGTCAGAGTCGCTGATGACAACATGGAGTGGGCCAAGAAGCAAACAAACTTCACCCTCAGGTCCGCCGTGGTCACCGAGCTAGGGATAGCACTAGCGGACATCCCGGACGTCTACCACACCGCCACGGGCTTCGCTATACGCCCCAGAAACGCAGAGGTCAGAGAGCGCCTACTGCAAGGAAAAGACAAGATCGGCACGGCCCTCCGAGCAGTTGCTATAGACCTGCCCACGAAGTGGTATAACTACGTGGTCCCGGAAGTCCCTGTAGCCGTACAGACATACACGGGCGAGCACATAGACGTCGCCCACCTCATCGACGACGAGGTACTCGCGCAAACGGGGCGCAAACCCGTTAGCATCCGACCCTCACGCCAGGGGGTCAACCCCCTTACTGCTACCAGCAGCTGGACCGTCTCCTTCCTGGAGAAACTTAATAAGCCGTTCAGGCTCTTTGGAGTCAGCTCATACTCCCGCCTAATCGAAAAGAAAGCCCCGCCTTCGATGTGTGAGAAGTGCCAGGGCTTCCACTCGTCCCGAAATTGCACCCGAACCCCACGCTGCGCGCACTGTGGGTTTAGGGTAGATGAGGATCACCAGCAACCGTGCCAGCGCCCTGAAGGCTGCGCAAACTGCTATGGCCCACACCCGTCGACCTACCCGGGATGCCCGGCCAGACCGACCCGACGCAACGGTAAGCTAGTCTTTCGGACACGAAAAGAGCTAGGCGCGATCCGCATGGCTGGATCCAAATTATACCGCATGGCACACCCCCCCGAGGGCGCTGAAGGCCCTGCGACCAACGCCACCAGTTCGCAACCCGGCGCAAGGCCGAGTGAGCAATCTGGTGAAGACTCCGAACCCGCCCCAGAACCTGCTCTGGAGCCCGCCCAGGCGAACGAAGGACAGGAAAGGAGCAGGAAGACGGGACGTAGAAGCGACAGAGGTAAGGGCCAAAAGACAGCCCAGGCAAGACCTGTCGCACCCGTGCCCCCCGAAATTGAAAGACCCACGATCACGGTCACACCAGGCACCCCTATCAGGGATGACGATGTAGACCAGGACCAGGGTCAAGACCCAGACGCTATGGAGTTCGAGCTCCCTCCCCCCCCCCCTCAGGACACCCGCAGCCACCGCAGGAACGCTGCCCGACGGAACTACAATATAGAACATATATATGCAGACCTCGGACTGGACTCAGAGGCCTAGACGGCCCCACGGGCGACGCCGGCAGAAACTCCTCAAAATAGCCCAAGGAAACGTTGGGAAGAGGTCGCCGGCACACACCGCTTACCTGCAATTGGCATGGGAAAGCGGAGCAGACATAGTTTTGGTACAAGAACCCTGGGTGAGCATCGATGGTAGCTGCCTCATCAACAACCACCCCGGCTACAACACCTACGTCCCAGTTGATTACTGGTACAGCCTTTCGACAAGACCCCGAGTAATCACCTACGTGAAGAAAGGGAACAGATACACAGCCCAGCAGAGCCGACCCTGGGTTACAAGGGACATACTCTGGCTGAATGTCAATGGCCTGAACGTGACCAACGTCTACAGACCGCCGAACGAACCAAACAGCGAAGCAACGGAAATACTGCTCAACTACATCCCTCCACCAAGATGTGTAGTGGCAGGGGACTTCAACGCGAAACACCCCCACTGGGAACCCGGGATCGAGGGCCACAACCGGGGGGCGGACATCGCCAGGTGGGCTGCCAACAACAGGCTAGCACTAATTTCGGAAGCGGGGATACCTACGCATACCGGGGGGCATGTCTTGGACCTCGCCTTCTCGAACATTCCTTTCGCAATGGGCGAAGTGGTGGACGCCCTGCACCCAGGAGCAGACCACGCGGCCCTACAGCTGACCGTCCCAGTAGAACGGACCCCCGAGCCGGAAAGGCACAGGATCACGGTCTCAGACGACGAGCTACCGACCTTCTCAGAGATAGTGGAAGAGGGGGCCCCCCTGCTCCCAGCGCTGCCTAGAAAACCCAGCGCCGAAGAAATAGATCGCGGCGCACAGGCACTAACGGACCTACTCACCAATGCGCTAATGGCAGCCGGTCGCTCGCCGAGCGGCAGGGGCCACAGCGCACCCTGGTGGAACGAGGACTGCAAAAGGGCGCTCAACGAGATGAGGCGCACACAGCTGAGGGATGGCTTCCCATCGACAGCGGAAAGACAAGAACTGCACAGGGTAGTACGCCTCGCGAAGCGCAACTACTGGAGAGGCAGGGTGGAGGACATTAAGAACGACGCCGAGCTGTACAAAGTGGTGAACTGGCACAAGCTTGGCCCGGCAATAAAGGCCCCCCCACTCCTGGTGAATGGTGCGGCGGTAGAGAAAACTAGCGACAAAGCGCAGGCCCTCCGGAGAGGCCTTCTCGAGAGATTTACACCAGACGACGACCTGGACGTGGACCCACTGGAGGTCCCAGTAGTCCCTAGAAAGATACTAGAGTGGGACACCACAATCACGCTGGAAGAGGTGGAAGCGACCACGATCTCCACCAAGAACACTGCCCCTGGCATCGACAATCTCTCGGTACGCCTCCTAAAAGCGGTGTGGGACCACATCGCGGAATATGTGCGGGTCATTTTCCAAGCTAGCCTGGGGGCCGGGCACCACCCCGAGCCTTTCAGAACAGCCGAGGTGGTGATGCTACCGAAGGTGAACAAGAAGGACTTTACAGACATCAAGTCATGGCGCCCGATAGCGCTCCTATCGTGCTTGAGCAAAGGCCTGGAAAGACTTGTCGCGAGAAGGATAGGGCGTATAGCCCTCCTCCACGAAATAGTCAGCCCACAACAGGCGGGGGCCCTCCCAAAGCGCTCCGCGACAGACCTCACGACGTGTCTGGCACACGACATAGAATACGCCCTCGAAACTCGCAGGACGGCGACCATGGCCACCTTAGATGTACAAGGCGCCTTCGACTCAGTCCTCGGCAAACGCCTTGCCGTACGCCTGAGGCAGCAAGGATGGCCGCCGCTCATGGTGAAATACGTACTATCCTTCATGACCAAACGCCGGGCCAGGGTACGGCTCGAAGACGCCGTCACAGGCCTTTTCGACGTACGGTGTGGGCTCCCACAAGGGTCCCCAGCCTCCCCTATCCTCTTCCTGCTCTACATGGCCGACGTGCTTCTAGACGACCCCCAATGCCGCTTCGGCTATGCTGACGACCTATGTGTCCTCCGAGTGGGAGGGTCTCTTGACGAGAACGTAGCGCAGCTTGAAGACGACATCAGACAGATACTCAGCTGGGGCAAGGACAACAAAGTCGCCTTCGCCCCCGCCAAATGCGAACTCATGCACTTCACCAGAGCCAGACACGACTATGCCCCGGATGTTCACATACCCGATTTCGACTTCACCATACGCCAGGTACGGGACAGCGAAGGAAAGATCGCGCCCATACGCTGGTTGGGCGTTTGGTTTGACCGGAAGTTCACCTTCCAACAACACATCTCCACCCTAGCAGGCAAAGCCGGACGAGTGGTGCGACACATAAGGAACCTTGCCAACACTGAGTTTGGACCCCCAGCAGAATCACTCCGCAAAGCGGTAGTCGCATGCATACTGCCGGCTGTTACGTACGGAGCAGAGACATGGTACGCGGGAAAGACCAAACTGCCCACGAACAACGCCCAGGCCAAAGGCAAAGAGGTCGGCACCAGACAAAACTTCCACATCACGGAAGTCGATAGGGTCCTGAATGGCGCCATAAGGGCTATACTCCCCATCTGGAGGACGACCCCCAAGGATACCATCTACAGGGACGCCGGGCTACCCACGGCAGAGATAGCCCTCGACAAGATCCGAAACAGGCTAGCCTTCAGGCTCAGAGCCGTCGACGAGCGACATCCTTTGATAGGCAGGCTGGCCCCGAAGCCCGTGACACGCGGACGCAATACCGGAGGCCTCATTAGGGCACGCACGCGAATGCAGCGCGCGGCGGACTTGCTCCCCCCCTTCCCCCGACCCAAACTCCTGATGCAGCAGTATGCACCAGGCTCCAGGGAATCACCCACTGGAGGGCAATCTAAAGAGGATGCAGCCAAGGCCTTCCGAGCATGGCTACGCACCCTCCCCGATACACATACCGTAGTCTACTCAGATGGCTCGCAACTAGAAGGCCGCACGGGGTATGGCTACGCCCTATACAGGGGCCGACACAATATCAGACACGGCTGTGGCAGACTGCGCCAGGCGGAGGTCTTCGATGGAGAGGTGGAAGGAGCTAGACACGGGCTCCGAGCAGCCTTAAGGATCAACAACGGGCACCCGATCCACGTGTGCCTGGATAACACGGCGGTCATCAGGGGGCTTAAAGGGGAACCACCCCCGAGCTCCCAGGAGGCCTTCCTAGACTTCCAACACCTGGCTACACTGGCGGACGTCAGGGTACGCTGGGTACCCGGCCATGTCGGGGTCGCAGGGAACGAACAGGCCGACGAACTGGCCAAACAAGGCACTACACTCCCGGAGAACCCGGACGAGGCCCCGACATACGCCGCAGTGCTCCGCCAATGCCGCGCCAAGACGGCCACGGACTTCCGAAAATGGTGGGCCGATAAGGCCAAACCCCCGGACCTATACCGACTTCTCAAGCTACCAGCCAAGCTCAAGTGCCCACAGGAACTGAGGCTGCCGAGGAAAGTGCTGCACCACCTCCTGGCCGCCCGCTCCGGGCACGGGGACTTTGCATGGTATCACAGAAAGTTCAATCACCCGAACGCTAAGCTAGACTGCACCTGCGGCAGAGCCAAGGCCCCGAGCCACCTGGTATTCTGCAGGAAGACCCAGGAGCCCGATACGAAACGGAAATGGCCCACCTTCAGGCCCGAACCGGCAAGCCAGATTATATACTGGCAAAGACTCCTGGCAGAACCCAAGGAGTTTGAACACTTCCTGAAAGTCACACAGTACTTTCAGAAAATTAGCCCCCGGTACTAAGCACCGGGCGGACAAGACAAGACCCGCCCGAGAAGCCTGGATCAGAGGCCCTCGACCTGCGGGAGGAGGCTCACCCTCCTTTTCTTTCTTTAATCGTCTCCTTTCTCTCGACCCTAGACTTTCGCTCCCACCGTCTCCCTTTTAACTTACATTTGGAAAAACCATAAAAACCACAAAATTTAAAACAATCTAAAAATATAACGCCTGACGGCGTACCGCGCGGCAAAAGCGCCCCGAAACCATGCCCGACAGCCGAACCGCAATGGGACGGTGTCTACGGCTAGGATAGACCTCACACCCCCGAAAGTGTGATACAGAATGGCTTAAAAGCGAACCAACGGCGCCTCAGTAGGCGGCCCCCGAATACCAATTTTACACCGAACACGAGCTCACCCGGAGGAGCCAACGGGAGCGGCTGGAACATCATCATGTGTGCCTTTTAAGGTTAGATTTGCAGGATATTAAAAGACCAACAATACAGTATGTACATAGACAGATACCTTGTATATTAGTTTTTAGATAGCTCTGCACGCCGCATACCCCTAGGGAGGTTTGCGAGGGCTGGTCCTTCCCCCTCGCCCCGGCGTTAAATATACCAACCAACCAACCAATCCAGCCTTCCTAAGGAGCCTTCCTGCCTTCCTTTTGGCGGCCCTATCCTCGACCACCTTCTTCTTTTTGAGCATCTTCAGTGTGGCCTTGCTGATCTTGTTAGATAAACTAGCTTTAGCTAGCCATGCAACAAAATCCTGTTCACAAATTAGTTAAGACTTGATCATTTTTAATGGTTGAATACTAACCGCAGTCCTTCCCTCTCCATTTGAATTTAATGCATCTTGGATGGCCACTCTCGTTTCTTCTTTGCGCCAATGGATGAAATCATTCATGGGATTGCCTAGGTGAAACGGATACGCTGGTCTTGCCTTTTGACCTAACAAGCGGTTTGAGAATGGAAGCATCATATTTGTAATACCAAGGCCGGCTGAACGAGAATACTTGATGGCATAGTCAGCTCCTATCGAGGCTAACGAATCAGCTCGGGAGTTTCCTTCAACGCCGACATGTCCTGGGATCCAGTGGATTTCGACCTTGCTGCCGAATCTCACGAGCTTCTCGAGAGGATAGACCAAATATTCGTGGATTGCAGCTTTATTGTGCGGTTTAACTTCCATCTTGGTGTAGCAATAGCTGTAGTGCAAGCGCTGGATTCCGGAAAGGCCATCAGTTATGATGATTATCTTTGGTGGTCTAGTGCGACCACCATTGAGAGGATTGGGAATTCGTCCAGCCCAATCCATCATCTCGTAATAGGCTATCCACAGACCTCTGTGCAGTGCTATGGCTTCATGATCTAGGAAATTGGAAATCCCCTTTGATCCATAGGCCGCGTCGACCCAGTCGTGGTTAGAGCCGTAGGTACGCATATAAGTAATACCACAGCCAACATTGTACTTGGATTTAACCGATCCATCTGTAAACATAACGAGGCGCGGAGAGCTGGGGGGAGGTTGGGTTGCTGTTGCGTGAACTGCGTATCGAATAGCATCCACATGCGGTCTGGCTACAAACTTGATTATGGTACTATCATTGATCTGCTCCTCATCTTGTTCAGGTGCCTCTGTTTTAATAGTCTTAACGAAAGCCTTGAGTTCCTGCTTGGTAAAGTTGGGAAGCTGAGCTGATCCGCCTATCTGTAGTCGATCAAAGGGCAGTTTTGCGTGCCACGGTCGTCGTAGAATCCACGCGCCTTCAATGTTGGAGTCTGTATCGATTTCGTTGCCCGCGCTGTGGCCGGTTGCTTGGCCCATTGATTCACTTACCTGCTGGTTCGTGGCGAAAGACTGGTCAAGAGCGGGGTGCTGTTGACCAGGGGAAGACATGGTCGCGGCGTTGTTTACGAGAACGATTTAGGTCGTTGCATAAACAAAAAGAGCGCTCAACAAGTAAGTTTGGCGTGGGAGAATGAAAACCTAGAGAATGTGATACCGCAGTAGGAAATTTGAAAGGTTTGAAGGAAAGGAAATAATGTGCGGGGAAAGAAGGACCGGAAGGAAGGTACGAGTATTATGAATTCAAACATGTGCACGGGACGGGCAGAATTATTGTTCCCTAGCAACCTACCGGAGAAACGCTACCTTTAAGGTGGTGACTGTCTTAACGGAGGCGCCAGCTGTCTTTGAAGAGTACAACTGCTAATCTTATGAGACGTCTCTTGTACCTAATGTATCTGGCGGGATATTTACAATAGTTAGCGCTGCAGGATAAGATGTCTGTTGTTGTAGGACATAGGATGCGTTGTTGGGAAGTAGACTCAACCATTAAGGGGTAATGAAGGTAATGTAATGTGACATGTCCAACAAACTTGAAATTGAGTAAAGAGCTTGCGATCACCTTAGGGAGTTATAACCTTTCTGTAGTATTGTATAGACGGATTATTATCTATTATCCTACAAATATAACTGTTTTCTCACTTCCAACTCTTATCCTCTACCCAAATACTAACAAAAATGAGGTAAGTACCTAGGTACCTACCTAGTAGGTATGATGGATATTCTCAGGGGCGTCATTTAGTGATGATCTAGATATTTCTAGTCCCTTTGATCTTACTAGCACATACAGCAGTGGCTGAATAAAGGCATTGGTTTCACTAATATTTCTATGTCCGGATACGAATATTGAACTTTGATTGAAATCTAATATCGTTCAAGGAGATCTTGACGATGTACATGCTGGATAAATATGTATAGGACTACTGCTCCCTACTATATATAGTATTGAAATATGAAAGTGCTGTTGAAGCTGTGTTTTGAATGTTCAGATTGGACGGCGGTGCGGGTTCGTCATTGCCAGTTCTATTACCTCGTAACTCAGCAGTTGTCTGATGATCTTTTAAAAGTCCTTGAGGTGACATTGGCGCAATAGGCGCCGAGTAATCGGGTGTATCGTTTTCATGTGGATTCACGTATCGTTCTAGGTTAGTGTAAAGGGCTTGCGCAGTTTTCGAGGACGTAGGATCCAACCCCAGCGACGACGAACCATTCTGATTACTCGGATCAAGGTCACTATCTTCCGACCAGGGGCGTCTGATCGCACGGGCAACATACGGCAACCCCGAGATAGGCCGAGCCTTAGCAGGTGGGCTTAAGGGCCTGACTGGGTCGCTATGTCGTACATCGCTAGCAATATTGTCGTCGGAAGTCTCTTCTATCTGCGCGATTGGTGAGCCTGGAAAAAGATCGCTTATTAATTGACGATCTCGGTCGTCGTCATTATGTACGCCGTCCGACGATGTTTCGGACCCTACTAATTCTGGTTCTGATGTTTCACGGTAGATTGCCTCGAAAGTATGAAATTCATGGTCGATTCTTTGGGATCGGGAATTTGGACGAGGCTCGGTGGTAGTACGAATAGTATTATCGTGCTCCTCAATGGTCTGGCTTTGACGAGGAGTTAGATCGGCTTCAGAGTATCTAAGTGTCAATACCTGTGAATGCCCCTGTGTTTGACTACTCTCCGTATCTTGTCGTCGTAATTCTCCTGGAGATAGTCTCCCCGATGTAACCGGAGGGGGCTCATTATGATCGCGGACTTGGTGAGTTTCTTTAGCCATATTTTCCTTTATTTGGTCCAATCGAGTGCTGAATCTCTTTGCACTAGCGTATCCCGGTATCATCCGGGACACGGTAGCATCGAACTCCAAAGTTCTGATAGATCTTGCGGAAACCCAGGCATATTTTGCGTCGATGGCATGGAATTCCCCATCTAGCCGTATTTGATCCCGTGCAATGCCATCAAAAGACATGACAGGAAACTTCCGATCCATAACTCTGGGCCCGCCGTCATCGTAGTCTTTCTCCCAACCTAATATCTCCTTGATTGTCTTGTTATATATATAACAAGACGGAATAGACCTCCTTAGGCTTGTGTCATAAAGGGACTTCGAGATGCCTATTGCGCCAAAATCGCCGATGGGAAGAAGGACTCCTGCGTATGAACTTTTACGAAAGCCCTGATCGATTTTATAGATTCCGCCCACAGTAGGATCAATAACACCTTTGAAATTGTTTTTGTTTTTCTTCTTTCTTTGATTATGCTTCCCTAATGCTGAAGGCGGCAAATCTACAATAGGAGTAGTAGCCTGCGCTTCGCTTTGACCTTCTCTTAGTTGGGCTGTATTCGAACATTCACCACCCTCTGAAGAAGCCTCGATTCGCACTCTCTGTCGCTTCCAGTTTCGCTGCTTCGAACTTGAGTTTACATTTGGACCTTCTGGTAGATTATTAGTCTGTTCAGCGTAGATAATATAGGATACTAGCAACACGGAGTGTTTACTAGTCTTAGGGACTGACCAACTTCAGCAATCCTTGGCCGTTTACTTGGTGAAGTACTCGATGCTACAAGTGGCTGCTCCGTACTCCATTCATCGCTTGAGAGTCCTTCCGAATCAATCACAATCGCTTCCTGGAGCTGGCGCCCAGTGTTATTATTGGTTTCCTGTTTGGGAGAACCAAACTCCGTCCGCCCTCTTGTTACTTCAGTTGATTCTCTGTCGCGTTTTTCTATTGGTGCCTTTAACAAGTTAGCAGCTAACCTTGTGTCTTAGAGATACCATTCTACACACGGGAGAAACCCTCAGATAAGGCTCGAGCTTCCTTTTACGGTCTTGTCTTTCCTGTCTTAAGAGCACCTTGAATTTCTTCTCTTCATCCTGCAACTCCTGCTCTTTTCCCTCTAACTCAGCCTCTTTCTTCTGTAGTTCTTCTTGAAGTAATTGGACTTCTCGCTGACGCTCTCGAATGTCTTCTTGGAGTGAAATACGGTTATTATCAAACGTGGCCCTGGCATCCCGTAGTCTTTTCATGTATTCCGATTGAATCGAGTCTAGCCTTGCTAATGCAACTTCGTACGGGTCGTATTCTTCATTTTCTAGAGATGTTTCACGTCGGGGGCTCGCCATCTTCTCGAAAGGCTAACTTGTCGACTAGGTAGGTAACTCAACGGGGATCTAATACAATAAGAAGTAAGGGAAACTGAAGATATGTTTTCAAGGAGTGGAAAGAAGTATGCACGAAAGCTCGGATATAAAGAGGGAGGTTTATTTTGAGTCGTACCATGAGGTGGTAATTATTGATGCAAGGGGGATAGCTACCTACTTGTGAAATAGGTAACTAAGTGTATGCAGATCTTGATCGGTTTATATCTAAGGCTTATTCAGTGCCCAAGTGTTGGTTTGGGTATAACTGTTATGAAGCAACGCCACTTTACAACCCATGCTCGTATTTTTCGATTAGAGTAATGTTTCGTGCTTGAATGTTACCCTTCTAAATGGTCCGGCCCAGATAGGCCATACGTATCAGAATCTAAGTGGTGGATACGAACGAATGGCGAAAATGTTACCAGCCTAATACACTGGGGTAACCATAAAGGAATCATGGTAGAATTGTGAGGGTAGGACCATCATTGTATCGTCTCTATTACGCCAGGCGCTTAGCAGTGGTGTGGCTTAGGTCGCATCCTTGGTCATCACATGCAGAATGCCGAGCTCAATGCGAACCAACATGCATAGGTACTGCACAATTTCCGGGTTTCGTGCCGATTTAATAACGCCTATTTACGGCCCGACAATAAATTCATGCTGCTCTTGAATTCCGATCAACTCGAGTTCTAGATTTCCCGTAGAGCCGACTTTGTTTGCATATGAGTCCATGATTGTAAAGGACCGGTTTTCGTCGTCATTTGGAGGGGCCAGAGTCAGAAAAGCAGAGCTTGTCCAGAAGAATATTATCTGCGTCTCGGGAACTTTGCTAAGCTCTGTAGATAGAAGCTGTGGATTTTGGGCGGCAATATCGGATAGGGTGACAAGTTGACCGCAATGAGCCTTCCAATTGCACGATTTTGCAGTGCCATCAAGTCATACCTTGCTGTCGACTTTCTCACCCGTTCAAGACGGAGAGTAGAATGGTAATGTTCAAAGCATAGTACCTCGGGAACTTCTCTGGCAACTAATGTAAACTAACAGATCTCGCTGCAACGCTTCAAGGGGTTAGGCTTACCCTACATCTATATCATAGCGGTCGTCCCCGATACAGACGAACGCTTCGCCTATCCAGCCCGTCCACAACCAGCTAGGGAAAGGAACTTTAACACGCAAATATGTCATCGGAAGAGTTTAGTTAGCCTCTCTACGCTTTAGGCCGGTAAAGGAGTTCCAGAGCAGGCCCTGCTTAAAATAGGATCTAGGTAAACCCCACGAAAACTCTTTACCCGAAAGAGCCGACATCCCTTGGAGAATGGCAAGGAATCTATCAAGGATATCGCCTTCGTTAGTTAAGTGCCGACGGGTATAGCTAGCCACGAGATTCTGGTACATTTTCCAGAAGCGTGCTTGGTCATCCTCAGGCTCATAGAAGTTCCTAAAGGAGTTTGCTAGAGTCCGCTCAATATTATCATATTAATACTAGGCTGGGTGTCAGGATTCTAGATGAGACATCTAGAACAAAGGACATGTTCAGTATGTATACCTAGGTAGGTAGATATAGATCCCCATAGCTAGGTTAGAGTTCCTCGCGGAACAACGATGTTGCTACCATATTGTTTAGTTCCACCTCGTGACACTGGGTATCTAAGAATTTTTCTTCAATTTGGACAGTTGTCGCGCCGATGTTGCATGCCTGAAAAGCAAAAAAAATGGACTTTTCTTCGGGCCGCCGATATTATATGCGTCAGTTTCAATCTTCTTGAAGAGCAGGCAAGTCTGAAATCAAGGGATTTCTCAGGGCCTCGAAATTGATCTCGCTACAGAACTTGCATAATCTTTCGTTTCCCATCATCTATATATACGGTACGTTGTATCTTTGGAGATGGGCAATGATATGTCTCAGAGCTAACATCTGCTTGGTTGGGCACGAAGACCCTCCCATGCAGAACGCCGAGTGTAGCGCGAGCCAATACGCATCCCGCACAATCTCCGAGATTCGCACCGGCTCAGTCTTTTATCTTCACGGTCCGGACCATGAGTCTTTAGATGGTTATCTCTTTCTTATCTCTCCCTCGGGTTATTGATGTTAAGGTATAAGTACCCCACATTAGGTGTAGACCTAGACAACTATTCTACTCTAATATCACCCAATCCTTCGCTACCATTTCCTCCATCCAGAAAGCAGAATATTTACGTCTCACCACGTCTTCCTACCCAAGAGCTACGAATCACGGGAACAATTAGCATAAATAGGTAAGATAGGTAATACAAAGATTTGTTACATGGTTAGCTCAATATTTTTCACACTATTTGAGTGCTCAGCTTTAATGAAGGAAACAAATAATATCTAATAGAGGTATAATTTTCATCTGCTTACATTAGTTATGTAATTATATAGGGTTCACTACATTGCGCCAACTAAGGTACTCGCATCTATTATATTCTCCATTCCCATCTATATTTATCCTATGAAGATCAACATTCCTATAGTCGCAATCGATAAACAACCATTACCGGTTATATTATTTGAATGCTTCATTGAAATACACACCGAATCTCTAGAAATATCCCTTTTCGGGTAAGATTAAAGATTTCAGCCGCCGTTTTAGCACCAAGCAAGTCTTAAATCTTACTGTCAGACGGCACCGCCCGGTCTAGTCATGTTTTGTTAAGGTGTTACGTGTTCGTTTAATGTAGACAGCCTCACCGATGAGTGGATATATTATGCACTAGACATAATTCAACTATGTCTTCGTGCACCCGCATTAGGCTTCTGTCACCAAGACTGGGGCCTAGAATGATTGCTCCTCCAACTTCCACCAATTAACGGGGGCGATTTTAGCTAACAGTCCGTAGCTTCGCCCCGCGTCGAGGATTATTTAGGCATGCATGTGCTATTGGAGAAATTCTATATTATTGCTTACACCTATCATCTACGCGACGTCATGGAAGGTAGGCAATGTGTAACAAGCAGAATATTAGCCCTATAAATATAGACTAACGGTAGAGCCTTGTTGTTGGTGTCATTGATCTTCCCTCCATTCCTATTTCCTTGCAAATTCTATAAAGGATCAGGGTTGGCAAGCGTAAAATATACTCTTCATACAATTAATTCATCAAATAAATTAAAAATAACCTCGGAGTTCCGGCGTGGAACATACAGCCTCGCAATGCCACATTACTACGATCACTACCATGAGAGCCCCAACCAAGCCCGCGATCTGACCAATCGTTTCTCGCGGGAAACACGCCACAGCGAGTACCCGACTCAATACATAGTAAACGAAGGGAAGATGATCATCCACGAAAGATCGCTAAAGCAGAGCAATGCGATTATATACAATGCACCGGGCTCGACATTACGGTTCGTACCGTCGAAGTCGGCCCCAAATACGAAAGCTAAGCACAACTCGCATCATGCACCCGAGTCGTACTGGCGAACGACAGCACCTCCAATTTATATGTGCCACGGCTGTTGGCGACGTCAGATATACTTCGGGGATTACTGTCACGACTGCACAGCGATGCGGTTAACCGCTGTCCCTAAGAGAAGGGATAATTACCGAGAGCGAGAACACCGTCCAGATCTTCGTTTGACGTGGGCCCCAGACAGCAAGCTGATCGAGTGGCATTAGGGGCACACAGTCTACCTATGTTCGAGTTAAATCCAGGGCACGCTAGGAACTATGGAAGAAGGTGGTGATTTGCGGTATCACTTCTTTCTTCTTTGTTTCATTTCACTTTCCCTTTATTATTTATTATTAATTGCATGTGTTCGTTGTTCGGCGATGGTTTAGTTATGATTAGCAAAATATAATGCCTTGCTATGAAGCATTTTATATTAGAATTTAATTATGCTGAAGGGATTTATAATAAATGTAAGCCCTTCAACTTAAGATTAACGCAAGAATTGTCGTATTAATTAACGAATGTAACTACCTGATCATCTACTTGTTGCTTGCTAACTAGTTACTTATGTATGAGACGAGAAATTAAGGGTTTCCATAACAGTTGATTCAAATTCTTTTCGACACTCTTCACCCCATATTGCTCATCTGGGTATTATTACCATAGGTGTTCTATAATTCGCTACCCAGGTTTTCAATTGACTACCTAGGTAGACATGGAGTATCTAACATTGATGTTACAGTAGTTCAACATTTTGTTGTGCCTTCTTTTAACTTACACAGTTACTTTATTGGCACCGTATTACCAACGTACCTATACACATTCCTTTAAGTATAACCTCACATTTGAAGTTTTCAGGTTATTTGACTAATCTAACGAAATGGTATAAAAAAAAAGTTGGCAAGGCCAAATTTTAGGTGCCATAACAGTTAAAGACTCATTTTCCCCAAACCCAGTATATTTGAACAGTAGGTGTTGAGAGAGAATTACCATGTTTAAAAACGAAGCAGTGTTTATTGAACAAACACAGATGTTACGAACAACACATCATTCAGCTATGTGACAGGAGTCTTTATATTCGATGGATTTCCTTTGGAAAATATCGAATTACTGTGTACTTGAACGTAGAACCAAAATAGTGTCGTCCACTTTGAATTCATACATCACATTAACAAATTTAAACCACTGGAGTCTCATCACCTAGCGAAGTTTACGAGATGTCAAACAATATCAAAAGCAGTTTTGGGGTTGAGGTCGAACTTCTGATCGGTATTAGAAGGACAGGCCCAATGATGGCTACACCGCGAATGTTTCAGTTAGCCAAGGGTAAGCCAATCATTCCCGAACCTGGCAATACAACCACAGCAGTTGTTCAAAGACAAGTAGAAGAAGTTATTCGCGTCGCTTTACAGGGACATGAGGGAGATCGTGTAATTACCAAACCTGAAGAATTGACTGACGCAGAGGGAAGTCATTTGAGGCGGTATACGGGTTGGGGTGTTGGGAGAGATATGAGCGTTATGGCATTTAACCTCGAACGCGACATGACTGTGTATGATTGGCAAGACCTGGAAATTACATCCCCAGCGCTCTTCGCTACGGAAAAGTCTTTCGCCGAGGTTCATCATGTCCTGACAGCAATTTATAACAATTTCTGGGTATTTGCACCGGAGACCGCCGGCTTGCATATCCACTATGGACGAGGCAAGGAATGGGTACCAATCCATCATCTGCGCCGAATTGCTGCTTTCCTTTACGCTGCTGATCCAATCCTAACGCAGATGCATCCTCCTCATCGCCGGGAAACAGAACGGAATTATTGCCCAAGTAATCGGCACTATAGCGTCTTAGCACATGGCATATCATCGGCACAGGCGGGTAGGTATCTTGGAGTAGGCAACCTTGTAGAAGAACATCATGAGGAGGACCCAGGACCCAGTCCCCCTGGATCAGCACCTGAACCTAAACCAGGGCAAGAAAAAGGTCCTAGATTTACCCCTATTTTTAAACGAGGTACTCTCGAGGGCTATAAGTTTGATAAGACTTACTTCACTTCAGGTGAACTTGAATGGGCAGAGGGAGAATATCTACCAGGGCGGCAAGTAGATAAATCATTGGATATCCAAACCGCCGTTCGGGAGCTCTTGTCTGCTCCAAGCAGTCCAGTAATATCTACCTTGATGCAACACCGAATTTTCCGCCGTTGCGCTTACAACTTCGCGGCTTATAGCGTGGAGGCGTACGGGGCGGTACAGATATATGGAGCAGGGCCCCTTCTCCGAGCGCAACCCAAGCGGACTATTGAATTTCGGCAAGCTACAGGTACAGTTAATGCCGACGAGGTTGTCGCGCACGCCAGGATAGCCGTACGCTTATGTGAGTTCGCGTGTGAAACTGATATTAATGCTCTGTGGATCATGATATTAGATTTTCTACAAGCTGAGACACAACCAACCTGGTATGACGTTTTTGATCTGCTATTTGAGCTCGGCCTGGCCAATGAAGCGAAAGTTATTCAGAGACAGATGGCTAAACAGCGCGGGATTGAAATTGTAAATGAAGAACTTGGTACGTTTAAAGCGCCAACCGTACCCCCCTCTCGCTGGAGTAGGTTTGTATCTTGGCTGTCCCACCCATTGTCATCTCAACCAGAGCCAGGCCAGCAGGAGAATCCAGCCGTGAATAATGCTGACGCAGTAAGTTCTGATGTGGCCTGGAGAGGGATGCTCCAGTTCTATCGTTAAGCACCATTCCGTAAGATTACAAGCTTAGTAAGGCCTAAACCGTGGTTTTAGAGAGGAGTGCTCTCAGCCAAATCTGTCTATAGCTTATAACTAGGCCTAACGGGGAGTCTATTTCTGTACATATTGGGAGCAATATGGACACGGGATGCGGGCTTCGTTACCTTGTTTAAATAGAGAATACCTTAATAAAGATAGTTGAACACTAGCTTAGAGACCGTTAGAAATTGTGACTAGGCTATTGCCAACTGCTCTCCTGATCTGAGAGAGCATAGCAGTCTCTCAATAATGACCTAGCGACATTAATAATTGCTGGAAGATTGGTCGACGTATATAACCTTATGAAGGGAGAAAGAGAGTACGATAGGGGGGCGAAGGCTAGCTATGTATAGGGATAGGTTAAGCCAGCGCCCTTGTAATTAGTTAGAAACATGCACATTGAACTAGTACGCATGAAGGCCATTGTGTTAGATAGACAATTTCTATTCAATGACAAATTCTTTCTTCTTAATTATCTTCCAAGAAATAGTCGAGGTGCCAAGAAAATTGAAATTTCCCGGACAAAGGAACTATAAGCTACAACATGTACGTAGGTGAACAATAAAGAAATAAAGGTTTCAAGTATCTGTAGACATAATGACGTCTTCCCCCTATGTTTTCCGCTTGACTGTGCCACATGAAAGCCACGAACTGGAAACTTTGTTCTCAATCGCTACGATTTGTAATTATCTATAGAAACTGGTCGAATCACGAGGGAGAAAGTGTTCATTATGCTATCGAATATAATGTGACTTGATTATTATGTGTTGACGAACTGAACTCATTCAGAAAGGCATTTGAGTATGTCACTTTCGCTCTACTCGGCATTATGCTAGAGTTCATCGCCAAGAAGGCGCTCGGAAACCACCTGAACCGGTAGTATTCTTATATTTGCGCAGAAGAGAATGAAGTTGGTTGTGCTGACCCACTAGTCCTTGTCGACGAGCCCCTCACCCTCGAGGGTGCGGTATGGCTTGTATGTGAGTTTGCTGTAGACGTAGACTTAGAGGCCGATGATGAGGAGCCGACTATTAAGCTAACAGGTGTGTCATGAAAGATCCTGGTACAGATCTAGTATCTGACCATCGTGTGCGCCAACTACGATGTCCGCAACACCCACATTTACGACCAACAGCCCCAGTCTCAAATATGATAGGGGTATTCCTAAATAATTCCCGACTATTTACGATATGCAATCCTATACCCTTAAATGATATGGCTACATAACGTACTATTAGGTAAAATTCGCTTATTAACCTCGACCCAAACCCGGCCTCTGGTGACTTGAAATGAGAAAATAGATTTAAATATGTCAGAGAACCCTTTATTGGTGTCATACATAGAGTATCAGGATAGATGATTTGAGCTATTAACACCTGCCCTTTTATACTCTTTCAAGGGCACTGTGCGTTTCTTATATACCCACTTCTAGTAGATCTGCCCCTGAATCTACCCCTGACCCACTTATTCCCTGGTAAAATCTAAGGCTCCTAAGGTTACCAAAGGAACACCATTCCATGATATAATATTGGCTTTGCAGCCACCTTCTTATCCTATTCTACATTGCATACACTGTATATCGATGGTTTACCATTAAGGACAGTATATTTCAGGTTTTCCCGTGGCCCTTCTACCTCATCTGGCTATGCTCTTCTCGAACACCTTCTCTTAGAACTACTCCCTTCCCCATCAGTGCTTTGGCGTTTGTTTGCACGATTGCTATCGCGTTCTTGGAGGACAATGGTGTCTTCTTCTGACACTTCCGTCAAAGGCAGACCCAGGATCTCGCGCTTTTTGAAGAATTCCCATGCATGTTGAAAGATCGGTTTATTGACTCCTTGCTTAGGACCTCTCTCAAGAAGAAAGGTTGTTAGCTGCTGACGTGAGACATTTCCTAGTGCCCAGCGAAATTGATCTGCAGTCCACCCTTTCCCGTCGACGAAGCATACGATCATGGTGCGGATCTGATCGCAGTCATTGTCGATATCAGTACCTATATTTAATTCCGATTCCTCCGGAGTCAACTCTTTCAGGCCTGGACGGACTACCGAGTGAGCGAGCGGCTCCAGGCGGCCGTAATTTCGGATACTAAAACCGGGTTGAGGAGTTAGGTCATCATCCTTATCAACTTGATCCATAGCATAAGCTTGACCAAGTACACGTTCTATCTCGCTTTCGGTTCTCAGTACCTTCTTCCCGACTATTCGCGCAATCATCTCACTTCGGGTCTTGGGCTTATTTTCCTCTGCTTTCTTCAAAATTAAGACGGTGTATTGCTCGAGTTCAGCAACGCTAAGGTCCGGGAATACAGCTTTTTTTGCGCACTCTTGCTGATCCTCCTCAAGCTGGGTGATAATGTAATCCATTAGACGATCCCTGACGTACTGGTTAGGGACATCTGCAAGCATATGATCGCGACCGAGTCGGCCGTAGCTAACGAGTCCATTGCCGAGTTCCAATATCCCCGACATCGATCCACTTATTGAATCGCACCATGTAATTTGGCCACGAATCCAGATCGCCTTCCATGGTTCCATATTGGTTGCTGCTGCAAGAGCATCAATCAACTTGGCATTAGACATGATAGACGCAGGATTCTGGTAGGAGATTAGAACTAAGAACCTATGTCCTGAATAAAACGTATGTGAATCTTTACCGCTCTAGATGCCGAGAATGGCGTCCCAGGCTTTTCGCGGGGATTGCGATGCTTGCTTTCAGGCGGACATTGTGGACTATTTGGAAGGACTGAAATGACATCCTCAAAAACTTGGATACAACGGTCGTTGGAAACGTGGGTTTTCAAGTAGTCCAAGACGGCAGAAATGAATGGGTGCAAGGATAAGTCATTAAATGTTTTCTCTATCTCAATTTGGCGAGACCGAGTACTTCGCAACGGTCGTCCTTGGCGTTTCCTAATATCATGCTCCTGGTAGTGCATGACCACATCGCGTTTAAATGCTTCCATTTGCCCATCCGAGAGTATGCCATTCTCTTTGAGCTTCATGAGTAATTTATCTTTGACTTCAGCCTAGAGATGTCTACCTGTCAGCCTAGGTATTGCCTAATACGGGGATGTAATAAGTGGTATCCTTACTTCTTGGGCTGTCTCTCGCGCTCTGCGAACAGACCATAAATCGTCATTGGATGGAGGCATGACTGAGGAAACCCAGCCCGTAGAGACTCTAAAAAGAGGAACGTTGTTATGGGTAAGATTTATATGGGCTATTTTTCGTAGGGTTGTAGTTCCTACTTTCTTCTTATTGGCTATTGAGATACTTGCAAAAGAAGTTGTTCAATTGTAGTCTAAGAAAAACAAGTCGCGTTTAAGCGCGGTGTGAGCCCTGAGAGCTTATGTCATCAGGGGTCTTGGTCTACAAGGATAACCTACGGTGCACCATTAGTGCGCAACCGACAAAACAAAAAAACGGATGAAAATTCGTCCGATTGGCTGGCGTAAGCGCTATAATTATAGCGCACTT